TGTATTGGGAGGATATATCAGGTACGTTGGGGAAAAAATAACACATTTGCCATTTACATGCATCATGTACATACCTGTAAGTAAGACATGTGACATCCCCATAAAACTCATCACGTGCACATGTACCTTGTATCTATGGTATGGCAAACGAAGGGGGTCGGGGTGAGGGTGTGCTCAGGATTCTAGATTGCCTTGTTTCTTTGACATGACAAAAGAAGAGGGTCGGGGGTGAGGGTGTTAACAGGATTCTATATTACCTTGCATCTAAGGTATGACAAAAGAAGGGGGTCGGGGGTGAGGGTGTTAACAGGATTCTATATTACCTTGTATCTATGGTATGACATAAGAAGGGGGTCGGGGGTGAGGGTGTTAACAGGATTCTATATTACCTTGTATCTATGGTATGACATAAGAAGGGGGTCGGGGGTGAGGGTGTTAACAGGATTCTATATTACCTTGTATCTATGGTATGACAAACGAAGGGGGTCGGGGGTGAGGGTGTTAACAGGATTCTATATTACCTTGCATCTAAGGTATGACAAAAGAAGGGGGTCGGGGGTGAGGGTGTTAACAGGATTCTATATTACCTTGTATCTATGGTATGACATAAGAAGGGGGTCGGTGGTGAGGGTGTTAACAGGATTCTATATCATTAATAACAATTTATAATCTATAGTCAAGTCAATTTACAGAAAATAAGAAATCCCGAACATTGAACCAATTAGAACAAAATATTACTTTGGCTATTGTGGTGATTTTCATCTGCAAAAGAAATCTTTTTTAAAAAAACACACACACAAGATTAATTTGATTCAAAGTTTTGTAGATTTAATTTAAAACCTCGAAAATGTTGATGTTCCCTGGAAGTTGATGTTGTCTTTCAACAGCTTTGGATAGTGTTTAGTTTAATCGTTTTCTCAAAAAATTACATTCCGTCCGTCCGTACGACCGCCCTTCCAGTTACACGTAAGATAGTCCCTAAATCCACTACATGTGGGTTTCTTTCAATTAAGGAGATGAAACCGCCGTTTTGAAAATTCACACAATTGATATATCAGGTATACAAAACATCAACCAAGCCAGGATAATTAATGAACATCTTACAAACGATGTCTGCTTAGAAGCAAGATTCACAGTACACCAATGGGCGGGGAACTAAATATATATAACAAGTATTCTGATAGCACCATAACATTTATCTAAGCAAAATGGACAATAAAAAAATTGTATTCATCACGGGATTTTTCTTCTATAAAATAAAAAATTGTAAAAAAACCGAATACTGAATACAAAAACGGTGTTTAAAGTCACAATACATCGGCTCTTTATTGCAGATATTGTAACGTAAACAATTCACATGTATATATGAGAAATCACAAACAAGAAATGACGTAACTCGCCGTAGACACTGGTAATGGCTGGAGATCTTACAACAATTGTAAAATCGTGCGCGTGTAAAGTGTCACCGTCACTACCGGAAAAAGAAAGTCACGAAAGAAAGTCCAGGAAAATGTCCACACTTGCTTGGTGGTTTTAGCTGGAAACAACAATCCAATAAGGTAAAGCACGTGACCAATATATAAACACCGTATGTTGTTATTGTGTTATTTTAACCTTCTATACACACTATATATTTATAGCTATACATTTTGAAACGTACGTTTTCAATATCATGACACAAAATGATAAATACTGCGGAATTTAGGGACAATGGATGGGTCGGATAGGGTCGAATGATGCTGGGCCAGCCATTTAGAAGGATGGAGCTGCTCCGTAACAAGGTAAAGGACGGATGGGAACGATGATGTAAATAAGGTGTGGGGTCGTGATGGATGGAGGGGGAATCGGAACAGCAGCATGAGGAGTTGGGGTCAGGACATCCGTGTACGGGATGGGGTCAGGACAGCAGTGTTGGGAAGTACGTGCAGCATGAGTGATTTTATTTTGGAGGGATTCGGGGGTGGTAGGGGGTAGTGGAAATGTATCGTAACAACAAGGTGAGTGGGAGGGTCAAAGGTAGAATGGAGTGGATCGGGACAGCACTGTGTGAATGGTGGTGGTCAAAGGGGAGCGGAGGGAGGGGGGACCGGGTATCAGGGTCGGGAACAACGGGATAGGGATCAGTAATTGGAATTATATTCCTTCAAGTTTCACATTATTTTGACAGTTCTTACCGTCTTTAAATACTCGAAATATACTTCAAACGCACCCAGTTGTTCTTGTTTAATTCTTGTGCTAATCAACAGAACACAGTACCGTTTAATTATGTCAATACAACATGACAACATGTTATTTGTAAGAGGATCGAAATGTAGAGGTTACGCCATACGTCGAACCAGTCAAAATCTTTTAATGGTGGACCGCAACACCCTCCTGTAGCACAGCGATACATTTCATGGTCGGCTATTTATCAAGTGTACGCGTACTTGTGGACATGAATGTGGTTCTTTTTTAATTAAATAAATTACAGGTTACAACGTGGATTGTCATTTTCGGAGCTTTCAAAATCAAGCATCTAGACGTTATAAAATGATTTACACTCCATTAACTTTCTACATTTAAAAAAAATCACATTCTTGTCCACAATTACCTGTGGAATCTACCGAGATAAAGTCAACACTAGTTTGAAGAGCATCCGAGCTTTTTCTGAACTGTCAACTTATTCGTGTCCTTACTGGAAAAGGTTTCCTCGTTCTCCTAGCTATATACACTATGAAAAGGAGGAAACTCGTGCATGCTGTAAATAAGTTTACATAAATGACTTACATGAGTAAAGGGTGATACCTCTCAGATATACTTGCAAGTTTATATTCATTTAAATGTAAGATGAAAGATTGGTGATCTTTCAGTTTTGATCTATGCATACATATATCCATGTAAGAAACAAGATATCTACAGCTTTGAACGAACAGACATAAGATATAGGACAAAAGATCACCCAGCTATATCTTTACGTAAGACACAATATATATATATATGTATAATGTAGTAACGTTATTACCTCCCCTGCTGTTACTATCGATTGCCTGGAGATGGCCGCTAGGCTGAAAACATCAGCCAAATACTTTGTTGATTTGATTTTATCTTTTTAATTATATATATATGGTTAACAAGATAAAATAATATATGTATATATAATACACAAGATACACGATCTCCCAAATGTATACTCCTATGAGAAAATGGGGCCAATAGGGCCTGTATCGCTAACCCGGATCTTAAAGCCGAGCAATTGTTTACATATCTATAGGTCGGATATTTCAATCATTTCTAAATCATATCTCATGCACAAAGCTTCTTTGGTAGCGCAAGACCAATGGGTAAATTCTTATATCATGACTGTTTTTTTTTCTTTGATGCCCAGCAAGAGTTGTATGGTTATTGGGTTGGGATCTCAACTGTTTCAAAAATATGACTCAGAGACTAAGCCCATAGTGGTGTGCCACACGCAAAGGTAAATTCTTACATCATGCCAAGTAATTCTATATACGTTTATGGGGTGGGGATTTCAACACCCAATGGCCAGTTCTTACATCATGAGTGTGTTTATCTCGCGATTCCCAATATTACTATGTATGGATATGGGGTGAGGATCTCGACTGTTTCAGAGATACCATCCCGACAGGTGGGGACACACTACAGAGTTAGATCTTACACAATGAATGTGTTTATCTCTTGATGCCCATCATTGGTTGGGGATCCCAATTGTTTAAAGATATAACCAGAGACGTATATAACACGTTATATACGTCTCTGATATAACCCAGAGACTAAGTTAAGTTCCATGGGGTGGGGGCACACCCCGGGGCCAATGTTGGCACCGTGATCGTTATCTCTTGATGCTCAGCAATACTATAAATGGTTACGAGGCTGGGATCTGTACCGTTTAAAAGACATAATAACCTAAACACTAACTCAAGAGTAGCTGGGCCACACCCCAGGGCCAGTTCTTACATCATGTTTGTTTACCTCTTAATGTCCAGCATTGCTATATATCGTTAATGGATATGGATCTCAACTGTTTCAACGATATCATCCAGAAACTGTCCCCATAGGTGGGAACAAACCCCAGTGCCAGTTCTTTTATAACGATTGTGTTTATCTCTTTATGCCAAACAATATTATATACATTTATATGATGGGGATCTCAACTGTTTTAAACATATAACTCATTTCTCCGTTATAGACCATCCCCTCCTGCCCTAGGAGGCCAAGACCCCCAGTTAAAGCAAATTGATCCCCCTTCACTTAAATTTGTTCAAAATTCCTTCAGTCGTTCATGATAAGTTTTGTAGAAAAAAAGTTGACGGACGGATGACGGACGCATCCGTATAGCTTACTTGAACCTTCAGATGATCTTTAAGATATGTAAAAAGGTAAAATAAAGATCTTTCAGGTATATAAACCAGCAAGATACAAGATCCCCCTGACGTATATATAACTCACTCCCGACGTAACTATATGTACGGACTTTGCATATTTTATGTACAAATTGATATCATTTTCAGCTGGCAATGTAGTTTGCATTGTGATTTTTTTTTATAAACACACAGAAATTTGTATGTTATGTAGTCGTTACCACCCGTTCTGTTATTTACATAATAAACCTTCCCCCTCCCCCACCCCCACCTTATAATCCATGCATGGATATGCATGTGGGTCCGTATTCGTGTGCATGTTATGGGTAATGGTTATCATATACAGCGGTTACCAGCTGTTTTTAGTTATGCATACAGCGCATTCTTACTCGAAAATAGTATATTTTCATGTTAATTTCCTTAAATCATTAAGTGAGTTTGAGTCTTGTATGCTATATACTGCTGTCAAATTAGCATATGTTGCTTAGTTGTTTTTGTCTGGTCTTGTAGAGCATTTTCTTTACGCTACAACTACTGTTTTATCTCCTTTCATCCAAAGCCAGGTCCCAAAAAAATCATTCTGAATATATTTCTGTTTTTTTTTTTTCAAATATGTGTAGTCCTAGAAATAAGTTGTCTTACCTACAGTCTGTGTCATCGGATTTTTGATGAAGTCTGTGTTATGGAGACTCGCCTCGATATATCGATTGCGTACGATGATATAATCCTGGATGGTTATAACAAGTTCCGCTGTACTCCGCGTGGGGGATAAATGTTTTCATTTTCATTCTATGTACATCGTAGACCGGACTTATAATTCCAGATGAAGTTGTGTGGAAAGATATTCAGTTTCCAAACAACAGAAATATCTGCTTCGTACTGTCTGTAGGCTCCGAACTATATACAAGCTTTCTGGGGGGAACTCTTTCCAATTTCTGCGGGAAAAGCCACGAATGAAAACTTTGCATGTTGTAATATTTGTCGATATAAATAACGTCAACCTTCTTACAGGCGATCGCCCTCTCGTAGATATTACAAACGATTTCTACTTCACTAATGTAATATACCAACAAGAATTGCACGCACGTGCACGTGTTCTAGAGACACATGCGTTCACACTCCAGCAGACACTACTGTCGATAAGGACCGCGACATTTCAGACCTTCAAGGAACATCTATGGATCTGATCATAGTGACAAATATCGCTAGGAGTTATAACTGACCAGATATAGTTAACAATAAGCCATAGATTACAGGCTTGAACGTTGCTTTTTTTCGTTTTTGTACAAACCCTACCTCGGAGCGACGCTTTTACAACCAAACCACTTCTAACTATTAACACTTAGACCTAATGAGAGGTGATGGTTTGATTCCGAATTAAAATTTGAAATAAAAAAGGCAGGTTGCTTCCAAAAAAAAAATATGCCATCTGAATCATTGTGGGAAACAACGAAATAGAGCCAATAATCAAAAGAAAATAAAGAAATACTTTATGCGGACATAAATGGTCTTTTAGATAATCATAGTAACACGAATCCGAGAAATTTTTGGAAACTTGTCCTCAATCTAATCAAATTATCTGATACGTAAAATTCGATTCCGCCTTAGAGGAGTGCGACAGAATAGAAATGGACGATGACAGCAAGGCAAATATATTAAAATTTTATTCTGTTTTTCTATCTACCCTAGACGATACCGAGACAGACGTTCCGACTTTAGAATGAAAAAAAATGTTAAAGCTGTAGGAAGTGCTATAATTTGTTACATTGTGCTTTAAAACACTGCTAATTTATTTGTCTGTCCTTTGTCTTTAATTTTTTGCATTCCATTGGAAACTATTTTTCCCCACGCAATGGAAATGTACTCTGGTGATGCAAAATTTCAAGAATGGAGATAGGAAAGGCCCCTCCTATCTTAGACCAATATGCTACTACTTTGTTCTATAGGTAAAGTTAATTGTTAATTGTTAATTGAGTATCCATGTCTGAAATTGCTGAACATAGTCTGTAGATTGATTCAAGCTTCTGGACAGAACACGTAGAAAAATCAGGGTTGCTCAACTATGTTATTAATTCGGATTAATTGTCTGAATCTGGTCAAAGCTTGTATTATAATCCAATATAAAATCTCAAACCTCAGTTACACTTTCCTACCACTCATCCAAACTTCCCAAAATAATGAGTCAAGTTTGTGCCGTGTCAGTCTTGGGTTGTCTTTAAAATCATAAAAACTGAAAATATTGATTTATTTCACGGACTTTAAAGATATTCTAAATCCATGTTTCTTCCTGCAGATTATTTTGAATACATCATGAAATGAATTACTATTCTGAAAAAAGAGCGTAAGATGTAGCATTTCTTTGTGCTAATGGCATTGTACTGTGTAGCTTTGTAGTTGTTGTAGCAGGAATTAGACCCAATCACACGCCTCCAAGTCGGAGTAGGAGTTATTCCCCTTTGGTTCCTGATCAATTTGACGGACAGAGGGCACCTGCTGAAGTGACGTTTGAACGTCCTTGACATCAACCAAAACACAGGTAAGACAGGTGTATATGGCGACGTAGAGAGGCGACTGCAGAACTAACACAGCGGAAATGGACATAACTAAGATCAGGGAGTTGACATTCTGACGGAAACAGGAAATGTAAGCATGACTTTTTCTTCCATAAATGGATTTTTAAAATTGAACAAAGCCGGAATCGAAATCAGCATTCATTGAAGTCTGGTAGGCAAGATACAAGTTTTTATCTAGCCTTGTGTGGTATGTGCATGCAATACATATAAGCAATATCTAATGTGTTTTCGACATGCTTTGTTTATCAGTGTATATGTGTTTATGTCGGTGAAACTGTGGTAGGATTTTTAAATCGTGACAGTATGGTTTCATTTTTTTGGTATCCTTAAACACCTAGAGGCTAGCACACTCGATCATATCTTCACTGACAGATTCCAACTGTATGTGCTAACAGGGCAAGAAATGACCCTTTATATATCATGATACATTTTCCACGTATTTCACAATATGAATACAAACCTGGGACTAACAGTTACATGTCCGGTGTTCAACCAGCAGAGCTTAACATGTGCATTACTTATTACATGGATATATACAGTCACTGTACATATTTGTTATGCCCCTAAAAAATTCAAATGAATAGTTTGACATTTTATGCATGTACCTTTAGCTAAAGTTCAGGTTTTGGGAAATCAAATGAGTCAGTGTATTTTTTAACCATTTAGATAAAAAAAAAAAAAATGGGTGGGGGGAGTGTTGTTAATAATTGTTGCAAAATGATATTTAAGAAATACAAAATGTTCTGTTCTTTATCGCAAGCATTTGAAGACCACCTTGAAGGCACTGTTGTGGTGTTGGTCAGTAGAGGTGGTTTTCTTTCACAGTTGTTTCTTTTCTTCATACTAACTTGTTTATAGTTTGGTGTTATATACTCATTTATGTATATGGAGCCTGCTATAAACTAAGTTACCTGTGTTTTCTGGGTGTTTCAGCCGTTGTACATAAGTACATTCCTCTTCTGTCTTTTTGACCTTGCAAGTCAGGTGGCTGAACCACCTTTTGTCATTTTCAAATATTTCTAACATTATCTATATGTAATTATTTCTTGAAAGCTGTTTGGAATTCCTCAAACTGGGGAAAGAACTGATTTTTCATTGCAACAGTGGTAAGAGTTAGAGATTGAATTTTTATGTTAGATAATGCTATTTTGTGAACAAAGTGTGATTTTACGAAATGCAAATGTTGTCTTGGTCATAAAAGGAAGATTTTATATTCTCTCTTAGATGACAAATAAGTAGTTGTAAATTAACATTAGGCAGTGTACAGATATTAAAGGAATGAAAGTTTGTTATCATATCTTGGAATATAACGATTGTAATGCATCTGTGTGTAGTATTTTACCTCGCTTGTGACAAAATCTTTGACTATGCAAAACAAACAGTCTGTTGAAGCTTACAAATACTCAGCTGTGGTAGATTTATATATCTAACAAACCTTAATCTCTGCTTTATAATGGCCTATGATACCATATTAGGCATCATGGTGTAATACTGTTCTTGTATTACTATTTGTCTCATGTCTGGGCCTTTAAATACTATTATTATACAAGTCAAGATTACATATGTATATAACTTCAGGAGGCACTGCCAGATTTGTCTGCTATTAAGCTCACCCATGTCGTGACTTTCAGCATAATTCTTTATAGCCTGTTACTAATGCGATTTTATTTGTCCTGTAATAAGGCCACCCCCTGATTTTACAGAAAGATTAAATGGAAAGTTGATGATGGCAAAACTTCTGGTGTTTTGTTGTACAGTCCAATAGTACCTTGTTTCTAGGTTTATGTACTTGATTTATATCATCAATTTAGACAGGTGTATACATAGTAGAAACCTGGACTTTTTGTGTAACATATTTAATTGTTCTGTCATATCGGTGGCAGGTAGAGAGGGGACTTCAAACTTATACTTAAGATGACATGTCAAATAATTTGAAGTGAAAAATACGATTTATGAAAAACACCAGTGTCTTTAATTTTTAATTTCATTTTGGTCCTGGTACAGATGGGACCAAATGGGTTCATATCTTATACACCCCAAAAATGAACATCATCTTTACTTATCTCAGTGACACTGTTTTTTCTTCCTGTAATTTACAGCAGGATGTATCTTTATGGATCAGGACCATGTAGTAACGTTTTTCCTTGAAATTAGGATGATATTCTTCATATGTCTTTCATTTTTAGGGAAAAAGCACATTTTTGTTTAGGAGAAATAGCCTGTTTTCAGCTGTAAAACAAGACAAAAAATTGACTGTAAAGACTCATCAAATGAGACATTTAAGCTAAAGATATCTGCAGTAATGTAAGTGTATTGGTAAACCTGAATGTTTTAGTAGCTAGGTGAGGTAAAGAGAGCATCAATCCTCATCGTATAAGACAGTTAAAAATTAAGACCTATCTACGTAAGTAATCAGCAACTTATCCCTGATTTTGTCTTAATGAAATAACATTACTTAACTGATAGGCTAGTCTGACAAGGCCTGTTATGTGGTGAAACAGGTTATTTTGGACTCTAGGATATAATACCAGGTAATTTGAAGTACTCTTTATATAAAGAGAAGATATTTTACCTTCAGAAAAATGTTTAATGAAAAAATGGGAAAGTACAGCAATGTATTGGACTGGGGTAATCATAGTTTATTGTGACATGTAAAAGTAATTTAGTCAAAATTTGTCATTAAGGTATGTGTAAATCAAGATATATGCTTACTTGATTATTGTAAGTATTACTACCGATGAAGGGAAGGTGTGAACGACACACTTACTATAGTATTGAACAAAGTATTGATACTATTGTATTGAAGTATTCAAATAATCGAGTCAAGTATACAACGACCTCTGTGATTGGTCGGGGGCGGAGTTTAGACAACCTGAATAGTTGATCTGACACCCAATTTGTTCCGGTAGGCGGAGTTAATGTACACTACCAGTTACATAACAATTACTAAGTAATCGCTGGAAAAATGTCCGACGACGGCAACAGTACGCAAAATTTTCTTCAACGAAATTATGTCCGATACGAACGATATGGGGAATCCTGTTTTTGTACAAGGCGATGTGGTTGTGATGGATAATTGTGGATTCCATCACCATGGACAGGGAGAGCGCATTTTAAGAAATATGCTGAAAGAATATGGCGTGTCCCTGGTTTTTCAGCCGCCTCATTCCCCGGAATACAACGTAACTGAATATGTATTCAATGTCATGAGACAGAGGCTTCGGGCAAATACCCGACTTGTGTCAGAATTTCTGGAACTTGCAGTAGTAAATGCTCTAGATATTCCGCCCAACCAACTTCAAAGTTTTTTCACATGTTGCGGATATGTATAATTTTCGATGGAAAGATAAAAAATAAAATAAAAAATATATGGGACCACAGAATTCCTTTATTTTTTAATGCAGTATGAATTATCGGCATATATCAGGAGGTCCCAGGTAATCCGTAATTCTTTGTTACATATAATAGAGCTTGGGCTTAAACCGAAATATTTTGAGCCAACCCTCCCCCCCCCCCCCCTTTCAAAAAAATAAATAAATAAAACTAGTACAGAATGACTATATGACTATATTCACTGTTAAGATGTTATGAATTCTCCGGTCCCAGTGATCTAACCTGTTGATATATATTTTGTACGTAAATTAGTTTAGTACTGAGTAACTTTCGTTTTCTCGTTGTACCATCGATGGAAAAGCAAGGTATCATTGGGTGTAGAACGAAACAAATGGGACAACCCAATTAGGTCTGATCTGAAGCCACCTGTGACTTGGACTCTTCCAATTAACCTCTCGCGACAGTCAAGTGTTTGTAAAATGCCGATGTCTGCACAGTATTTTTTCACCTGGCTCCACCCACAATCGATCTAGACTTGGCTCTGCCAATCAGAGAGCTTGTTGCATAAATTTTAGGAATTCGATTGGTGAAGTACTTCAGTACAATACTATCAATACTTTGTTCAGTACTACAGTACTTGAAACGTTCACACCTTCCCTTCATCGGTAGTAAAATGCAAATAAGTAATACATGTAAATGTTTAAATTTTAAAATTATAATTTTTTTAACATTCCATAGTGAAAACTAGTATTAGTGGCATTCGAGAAGAAAGTTTCTTTAAGCTATATTGACGATTTTTTGGAGAGATGCAATATGACTCATAGAAGACATGAGTGAATTATAATGGTGAAAGCTTGTTTATATATACAAAAAACAAAGCATGTAATTTTAAAGGAAAAGGAGTTTTTGTATGACAATCTACGCATATATCATTTAACTGATTTCTCAAGTGGCAAGTCTGCAAAGGACATCATGAAGTTATGTCAAGTCATGATGGACGCCTTTACTTCTAAAATTGTGTTAACAATACCTGCTTGAAATATTAAATAACAAATGTGCTTTATCTAGTTTTGAATGAAATTTTTCAGCTTTTGGGATATAAAGGTTCTTGTTTTTTAGAAAGGGGGTGTCCGTTAGCAATCAGAATAACTGTGAAACAGATATCACTGAAATTCCTTATGAATATATGATTATAAATGGTAAGCTGTAACGTATTTGTATGAGAATGTGGTGATTATTTTTTTTTCAGTCAAACTTCAGTTACCTCTACCTGAATTTTTTTTTCTGTGTAGTGATTTGTTTTGCTTTGCTGAGTTTATGGTACAGTGAACAGCTAGGATAATTTCAAGGTGGGATTTCCTATAGTAGTTGGTAGCTACATATACCTTGCTGAAAACAATACTGGAGGCCCATTGTATGCCATTCAGAGAAATTCACGTAAAGAGTTTGGCCCATGGAAACAACCACATCAGCTCAGACTGGTGTGTTTCTGAGCTTCACTTCCAACTTTGAAATACAAACCACGACCAGAGTTAGGAAGTCTTGCACCAGGCACCTTGAATCTTTATCTGAGGTTAAGTAGGACATTACTGCTCATCTGCATAGAGAACATTTAGAATTACCCAAAGTTTGGACATTACACAGTCATTGACCTGTTTCAAAGTAAATACAAGAATTTGTTAACCAGAGAAGGTGATATTTCTGGCAATAGGAAATGTTACCTCCTCAGGATAATACATCCTTGTATTCACCTTGAAAAAGGTCAATACTTGTTTTATTACATGACAAGAATCTGTGCCTCTGATTGGTCAAAAATTTGCAGCATAGGTTACTGGATTGTTATATTCACCTGTGAGATGCACGACACAGTTTTGAACTGCTATATTCACCTGCCTGTTTCGCTGTGATATCAAACACAGTACATGTATATCTATACTAATTGGAGATGTTTTGGACCAATCAGTGTGTCGGAAAAGTGAAAGTCATGTAATAATGATTGGTTTTTCTTCTTAAACTATAAAAGATATGTGATAGGCTTATTATCACTACCAAATATAGAAATAATAGAGGATAAATACTCAAAATGTACAATTATTTGGATTGAGAAGTGATCTCAGTCAACTCCTAGGGACAGATTAAATGTGTAACCAGAGATACATTTTATGACATATTGTAACCTAAAGCCGGATAAGTATTCATACACTTTGTATATTATATGTCTAATTATAAACATTGATCTCAAGTTAGAGACAGTGGTTATTGCTTTTCTCCTTAAAATAGGCACCATTCTATCTGATAATTTGCAAGACTGTCATCATTTATGATTTTGTTCTTTTATCTGTCAGTGGCTTTAAACCAAGGTTGAAAATTGTCTTATAAAGAAATGTTTAGTCATTCACTCATCCTGATGTCTAACTACTTTTCCTGAGAAAAATGATGGCAAAATTTTGATGACTTCATCAAATATAGTTTCAACTTCGACCGCAAAATGAAACTGCAGACAGATAGTCATGATCTTCACTTAACATGAAATGCTTTTTCAAATTTAGTGCTTTAACAATGTATTAATCTCAATCATTAAGATTTTTTTCAAATATGCTAAAAGAACAGTTACATACAGTTTACATTTAATGAAAAATGATATCTTTTCACAGGCTGAATTAATGAGAATTTCTGAAAAATTACTATTTTGTGGACATCTGAATATAGTTCAATAACCCCTCTACAAAAGAAATAATGTTTTGAATAAATTTACTGAACTGTGATGAAAGTTAGATCAAAGAGGAGAAGTTCAAGTTACATGAATATGTATTAGATATATCTCTGTTATCTGCTTTGTTACAACAGATGAATCATGGCGCCAGTTAAAACAATTAGTTTCTCACAATCAATAAAATAATGTAAAAATATTATAAATAGTAACCATGCTGTGTTGAATTCCTTCATTGCTTCAAGTTGATCACTATGAATGCCTAATGATGTATGTGGATGCATTGTGAATTCCAAATGTTGGTCTCATTTTGAAAGTCTTGGTGGTGATTATGAATAGGTACTATTGTCTGAAAACACAGATTAGATTTAAGATTTCAAATAGATGAAGTTTTTCCATTTTTCCTCCTTTTTTTTTCATCAGTTCTCTTTAAAGGTATGACAGTGATTTCTAAGGATTAAAAATTATGGAAGAAACAAACAAATTGGAAATTGTGATTGGAATTATATGTTACAACTGATTAATTTTCCAGTAAGTTCATCACTGAGGATTCAGTATTACTAACTATTCCCAAGTATGTAAATAATAGAGTAAGTAATTATACTGATGGAAATTTGTCTATAAATAGAATTTGTGACTTGGGTTATAGGATCAATGATATACTGGCTAGGTAGTACAGGCTGGGAAATTGATGGGTAAATCTGGTGAAATGATAAATTCTTGTGAGCTTGTGATTTGTCTGTCCTTAGATAATGCTTGAAAAGGTCTTGTTTGGTCTCACTTAGATTTCATATTTAGGATTCTCTTGTTATCAAATAATCAGTAGGAGAAGGGGACAGGAGGAGTTAGGGGACATCTCGATATTGATTAGAACCAATCAGATCATAGAATGATTGGTGAGAAGATTGCGCTTGGATCTCCTCATATAAAGCTCATGTAGAGATTCTATTTGGATATAAACTGTGAAATCTTATAGGAAAATATTTAATAGACTCCTATACTGTTTTATTTCTAATCCTTAATCCTTAATATTGGAATCTAATATATTGGTGATCAATTATGTTACCATGTCTATGTGACCATGTCTGGTAATAAGCCCACCCATATCTATTGCCCCCCGGGAAAAAAAAAAAAAGGTTTAATTGTCATGTAATAAATTGACCATTTCACTCTTGAGTCAGATGCAATGTATTGGCCTCTAAGTGCAGGGTATAGTACTAGTCCCTGAAACCTGGTACACATACATGCAACATAAACTTAATACCCCTTCATATCTTAGCATAAAGTTTTATGCCTGGTGAGGGGGAATTATTATAGTAGTTTGATTATTCCTACTGTGATGTAAAATTCATAGTTTGAGACTAACTTTTTTGTTGCGTAAATCTCGGACCTGTCTTTCTGAAGTGATAGATTTCATAGGTTGTCTTTATAAACATACCTGAAAGTATTATGTCAGCATCCAGGGATATATATTATTCACTTAATTGAGGATTAAATGTTCTAGAAAATGATGATGTTTTACTTTGCCTGTATTCTTGTGCAACAATGCCATGCTGCTGTTGATTTGATTTGATTTGTTTTCTACAGTGTAATAAATAAAGTGTTGATTGACAAGTATATTGATTATGATTTGAGACTTTTTTCTACCTTACAGATGTAGACGGAGCTGCGTTGATTGACATGCCTCTACAACAGGTGCTTGTTCACCCATTAGGAAATGGCTCCTGTAAAAACGTTAAAAAGGACCAGAAAACACAACCCTCACCTCTCAAAAAGAAAGACAGCACCAAGGTAAGCAAGCTTTACTTAATGTCATGTTTCCAGCTACATAAGTTTACTGGAATCAGAGTGTCCATTTATTAGTCTCTCCATCTGTGGATGGAAGTTTTGTTATCAAGACGTAAGCTACTTACTCTCTATCGAAATGCTCATATAAACTTTGGTGCTCATGATTAGTATTTGTACTTGTGCCTTAAAGAGATTTTCTAGGTGATATTATCCTCAGGAGGTTTGTGTCTCTGTTATGACAGACTTATGATGTATCAGGGTTGTTCTTTTTTAGTTACATTTTGTAGCTGTTAATTATGTGTTTGGATTTTTTCAATTATCCTGTGTACATTTCAAACTTAACTTTAGCTTTCTTGATTTGTCCTTGACATTTTGCTACATTTCCATTAATGTAGAAGCGAGGATATTTATGTTTCTTTACTTAACACCACCTAACCTTAAAAGACAAGATTTTCCTTGTATGTATAGTAATGAAACAATTTCTGGAGAACATCTGACATTTTAATGATACTATGAACATATTAGTCCCTTCCACAGGACAGTGACCTTTTCAAAATCTTTCCATTGAATCTAGGATCTTTTCACTAGACAGTTTTTTCCCACTTGAGTAGGATTTTTCCTACTGGAGTAGGACCTTTCCTACTGGAGTAGGATCTTTCCTACTGGAGTAGGACCTTTCTTACTGGAGTAGGATCTTTCCTACTGGAGTAGGACCTTTCCTACTGGAGTAAGATTTTTCCCACTGGAGTAGGGATCTTTTCTTCAGGACAAGGATAATCTCCTTATACTAAGTTATGATCTTTTCTGTTGGAAAAAAAATTAGTTTCTTCTGGACAAGGATCTTTTCTTCTTGACCTTTCCTCTGGACACACTCTTTTCCAATGGATTACAATTTTTTTTCAGTTAGACTTGGATATTTTCTGTGGACTGTTGTGTTTTCCTCTGGACTGGGCTCTTTTCCCCTGGACAAGAATGATTTTTTTAGGAATTTGATTTTTCCATTGGACTAGGATATGTTCTATTGGACTAAGTTCTTTTCCACCTAACTATAATCGTTAATTTTTTTCTGTTGGATTAAGTTTTTTTTCACTGAACTATCACTGTTTCCTTTTGACTATTGTGTTTTTCCCATTGACCGAAGATCCTTTCTTCTAGACTACAACCATTTCCTCAAGCCTGAGATCTTTTCCCAAGGAGTAAAATCTTTTCCACTTGACTACAATTTTTTCCCTTTGAACTATGATTGTTCTTCTTTCACTACAATTTTTACGTGATATTTACAGTCATTACAGAAGCGGTGCTCATAGTCACAAATGACTTATGATTAATTTACTGATGACATGCATGACCGCTGATGTAAGACATGACAAGATTCCCATTATCATAATTAAAATATACAATATATTCATTATACGTAATTTACTCAAATAAACTCAACGTTTGTTGCAGACATTAAAACCCATTTAACAGACATAATAGCCCACGTTAATGTTCATCAGATATTAGTGTTGTGACCTTCATCCGTCAAAGCCAGGAGTAGAAAATAGGTTCTATTAGAATATAGCTTTCGCAATTATACAAATGTCATGCCATTATTTCTGTGACTCTTAATTAAAACCCACAAGATAGTGTTAAGTGTGTAATTAAAAGGTCTATGGACAGCACAAGAATCATATTTTGGCAGCATTAATCCCACTCCTGATAATAAGCCTACCTATATCAATTGCATCAGAAATGCTGACAAATACTACACCATTGTTTGTGAAGAGGTCCTTTCATTTTACTTCAGTCAAGAGAGATATGTGTTATACATTTTTTTAAAAATTTTCCACATTTGATGGAAAAAATTGCTAATTGTCTATGTGTATAACAGAAAGAAAGTGTGAACCAGGTCTTGAATCTAGGACCTCTGACCTCTGACCTCTAAGACAAATGGTCGAATCAGTTGAATCCTTGGTCTAGATCTAGATCTTGGACAACATTACAGCCTAGACTGTGTTAACCCCTAGTACATACAGAAAGTGCATGTACTTCAAGAGAATGAAAGGATACATTGTGAGAATTAATTTTGCGCTGAGCACTCTTGTATTTTCTGTAGCAACAATTAAAACGGGTTGTTGACTCGACTTAACCTTTCAGCAACCAGAACCAGATGATCAATCTACATATAGCTATAGTCACTGGTCAAGACTAGTTGTGCTACATATTTTACACAAATGTCTAGATATATTTAGGTTCACAGTAACAGCAGTATTGCAACAGGTCTTATGTAGCCAGGTAAGAAATCTTTCACCTGTATATACATACATACACACCTGAGTTGTTGAGGTGACCTGATCTGGACATCTGACATACTAAAGTGCGTATACCTATTAACTCTGGACCAGTTATCCCTAGGTCAAGCTGGGACTTAAAAAAAAACACCTGTATACCTAGGGGCTATATTCCTGCCTTTGATTTAGTGTTTTATTTAACTCTTGCTGTGTTTTTTTCTTAACATGACAATAAATTTAAACAATGGATATTTACTCAGTATAATTTATTAAAGAAGATTTATACATACCTACTTACTGACATTTGTAAACATACCAGGATTTACCATCTGTATATATACAACCTTCCAAAACAAGTTTCATGGTATACAACCTTAAAGTCAATTTTACATTAAATATGATGTATATGACCATTTTTTCTATGTATGCAACATTGTTGGGATACTTTCAGTGTATACAAACCTGTAAGTCCAGTTTTACTGTGTAAACTACCTAATCAATACAGTTTTTCAAGTCTATGCAACCTGCAGTTTTATGATATATTCAACCCTATCAAGTCAATTTTCCATTGAATAAAACCTTAACATGCCAGTTTTCTTTCAATATGTATGACTTTAAATGACCTTGTAAGACCACTTTTACAGTACAGTGCACATGCATATGACGTTATAAAGCCAGTTTTACAGTAAATATGGCTGTATGTGGCCTAACAAAACCAGTTTTACAGTGCATATGACCTTAAAAGATCATTTTACAGTGCACATATATATGACTTTATAAAGCCAGTTTTAAAGTGTATATGGCTTTATGTGACCTTACAAAGGCAGTTTTACAATGTAATGACTATGTGTCCTTATAAGGCCAATTTTACAATGTATGACTGTATGTGACCTTAGAAGGTCAATTCTATAGTGTATATGACTGAGTGTAACCTTATAAGGTCAGTTTTACAGTGTATATGACTGTGTGTAATATTAGAAGGTCAATTCTGTAGTGTATATGACTGTATGTGACCTTAGAAGGTCAGTTCTATAGTATATATGACTGTATGTAACCTTATAAGGCCGGTTTTACAGTGTATATGACCATTTAGGGCCAGTTAAATTTACAGTGTTGCATTTTCAAGTGACCTTAAGTGGCAGGTTTTACAACATATAAAAATTGCCTTTATAATGAATATGAAGCAGCAACCAGTGTGTCTATTGTACTTGTAATTGCTTCATAAAATCCTAATTTTAATTGATAATTATAGTCCTGTAAATGCAAAAATGAAAAGTCATGTAAGGCTAGCTAAGGTCATGTGATATCATCTTAGGTCACATGTCAACAGATAATAGGTATAATGACAAAAACTATTGTTATGAAATAAAATAGGTCATATTGATGCAAGCTGAAGCCCTACATGTGCATACTTCCTGGTATTCAGCGGAGGAGTAAATGAATCCTCTATTCTACCAACGAATCTGAACAGTGTTGGCTCTATCATCAAATCCTTCTATCTATTTTGTGGTACAGAATCTGAACAAGGTAGACTAAAAATCTGTTCAAATTGAACTATCATTTGATAAGAACACTGTCATTTGGGTATGCTTCTGCTGTATTGTTAGAACATTTACAGTAAACTGTATTGTTGCTGTATTGTTAGAACATTTACAGTAAACTGTATTGTTGCTGTATTTTTAGAACATTTACAGTAAACTGTATTGTTGCTGTATTGTTAGAACATTTACAGTAAACTGTATTGTTGCTGTATTGTTAGAACATTTACAGTAAACTGTATTGTTGCTGTATTGTTGGAACATTTACAGTAAACTGTATTGTTGCTGTATTGTTGGAACATTTACAGTAAACTGTATTGTTGCTGTATTGTTAGAACATTTACAGTAAACTGTATTGTTGCTGTATTTTTAGAACATTTACATTAATTTAGTTGACAACACTGATCAGGATACTAGTATGTCCCTGTTTAGGTAGGATACAGGTAATATTCACTGAATTATTGATTTTGAAATGGCTACATGTAATGTATGCATTGATCAGCATTTTGAAATATTAAAAGGACACCATGGACCAACCTTTACAGGCTGACATTACAAGTTAATTAAAATATATTGAGATCAAATCAAATTTTATAGAATGCTTCGTAGATAGTCCCTCAATGCTAAGAAGTGGGAGACATTTAGTTGAAGCCATGCTAGGAAACATATAAGAGTATCCGAGGGTATAAAAGACCTGTTATCCTGTCAAACCGGTTATCATTATTTCAATGGTTGTGCAATGCGACTCATCTATGTATATAGATATATGAACATGAACGTTATATCACTTTCAGTTTTTCTTCCAATAAAGTGAAGAACCTACAACTGGATCTTAGAAATTAAAAAAAATATGTATCTATGACTCAATGATAAATATAGCTCAAAGGAAACAAACAACAATTTTATCTTGTGGTGTCAGCTTTATCAAATTCTTTGTTTCAGGTTTTCAGACACAAGTAAATCTTGACCATTTCTAGTTGCTATCTTGTCTCTTTTTTATAGGGCATTAATCTTTAAATGCATTTTTTGTTTATTCATATTAGAGCTGAACAAACAGTTACACTTGCAATGCATACTTGTGCAATCCCTTTACAGTAGATAATGTTTTGTCAACATGTACAGTTTTGAAACAGATTGTGATCTCACACATACATAATTTAGCATGTTTGTACAGATGATATATGAAGGAAAG